AGATTTGCAAACCTATGTGCCTTCAACAAACTGGTCATCGGTGGAACAATATTCCCGCACAAACGCATACACAAAGCTACATGGATTTCACCGGATCACACAAGTCAAAACCAAATTGATCATATCTGTATCAACAAAACTTTTAGAAGGACCATGGAGGATGTGGGAACCAAGAGAAGAGCTGATATACCATCAGATCACCACTTGTTGGTCTCTAAAATAGAAATGAAACTCAAGAAGCACTGGACAACGGGACAGACAACATCACACAAGTTTATCACAGCCTTTCTTCGGGATACCATAAAACTCAACGAATTCAAGATAGCCCTCACCAATAGGTTCCAGGCCTTTCAGGATCTACTCAATGGAGATGAATTAACGTTAGTAAACAATTATGAAATGCTCAAAGAGGCGATTTATTCAACACGTCACGAAGTTCTGGGTCACACGAAGCACCATCAAAAGGAATGGATCTCTGTTGGTACCCGTGAAAAAATTAAAGAATGGAGGAACAAGAGGGCAGCAATCAATGTCAGCCGAACAAGAGCAGAGAAAGTTATCGCACAAGCTGCATACACAGAAGCAAACAGGGAAGTGAAGAAGAGCATCAGAGCTGACAAACGAAAATATGTGGAAGATCTAGCAATGACGGCGGAAAAGCCTGCAAGAGACGGAAACTTGAGACAGTTGTACAAAACAACAACAGAGCTCGCTGGACACAACAGAGCAGAACGACCAGTGAAAAGCAAGTAAGGCAGAGTAATCAGTAACGCTGAAGAACAGCGAAACAGGCGGGTAGAGCATTTGCAAGAACTATTGAATCGACCAGCTCCACTGAACCCACCCAACATCGAAGCAGCATCCACGGACCTCCCAATTAATATTGGCGCACCTACAATAGAAGAGATCAGTATGGCCATCAGACAAATCAAGAGCGGCAAAGCAGCAGGACCAGGCAACATTCCAGCAGAGGCAATGACAGCAGATGTAGAAGCAACTGCGAAAATATTTCACATCCTCTTCAAGAAGACTTGGGATGAGGAAAAATTACCATCACATTGGAAAGAAGGATACTTGATGAAAATACCAAAGAAAGGCGATCTCAGTAAGTGTGAGAACTACAGAGGCATCACTCTTCTTTCAATACCAGGCAAAGTCTTCAACAGGGTATTGTTAAACAGAATGAAGGACTTCGTAGACGCCTAACCTCGAGAGCAAAAGACTGGATTTCGTAAGGATCGATCGTGTACTGACCAAATTGCTAGATTACGGATCATTATGGAACAATCAATTGAATGGAACTCACCACTCTACATCAACGTCATTGACTAAAGATGTCGAAAAACTCGTTAAACACAGAAAACGTCATCATACTATATACATTTCTTCAGGCCCTGAACACTAAAATACACTTACTGTGGATTCCACCACTTATTGTACAAAAAATCCGTCGAAATTGACGGAAAATTATGTTGCGAAAACTGATGTTCTACCAGAATGTTTTAGTGAAGTATTTTAATTGATGGTGGGGGAATAACAATTAGTTAATTTATTGATGACAGACTTTCAGTGCTTCTCCATCTTCTTGGGAAAGTTGTCATACGATTAGTTCAACATCCGGAACCAGATAAGTCCGATGGTCCTGGCTAAGTTAATACTACGACCATAAAAGCTCTGGTGGAGCCCCTGATACTACTCACTGATATGTTCATGAGGCAGTCCAAGCTGCTGAGAGACTGGAAAGGTGTCATTATGGGCTCAGTTCATAAGGCAAAGTGGTTGAGTTGGGGACTTCGTATCTGTCAACCAGCCGGTCTAACCAGTGTCGCTGCCAAACAGCAATTTAAAAGCTATATTCGCGCGGCTATTTAAAGTTTAGCGTTTCCGACTAATCTTTTATCCATGGGAAAATATGGTTTTAGGAAAAGGCCTTTCGTATCTGACTAATCCTCTCATTTAAAAAAGAAGCTAAACTGTAGCGAAACACAGCAAATATAATTTTCATAGGTCTAAGTGAAGTTTAAATCTAAGTCTCTCATCTGCGGTAAAAGGTTTGAGGGTCTAATGAGGTTTTGTTAGGTCGTTTCACTACCGGAATGAACAATCGTTCAGGATACCAGGCCGGACGTTTTTAACGCAGCTTAGAACAAGGGGTTTTAAGCAACAACTGTTTGCTTCAAATTTGATACGTTTATGTTACAGGGAGTTAAAAGGCAAGACCAACACCAGGTGGTTATTATAAAATTTAGAAACTGATCAATACCATTCCGAGGTCTCTTTGTGGTGTGCAATCTATCCCTAGTTTCGTGACGGTTGATAACCAACGTGTTCTCAAACCTCGTGTTATGAATGATATTATTATTTGCATTATTAGGTTGTATGCATCTGTTGTCCGAAGAATGCTCCTTTGGCTCTAAATATCTTCACCTTTACATGGGCATAATAATCAGTTCGTCTACAAATGTTTCTGATCAAAAGTTTCCTCCTATTTCGGAGCTCCTCCATCAAGTGTGATTTGAATTTCGTTCACTGAGTTGCATTCTAGCATCTTCAGTTGATTCGGTTGTAATTTATGAGTGCTGAAATAACGCCAGTATTATCTGATTTTATAAATGGATTTTTAGGAAGTTGAGGTACACCGATTATGAGCTGGAATGAAATGGTCACTTTAATAATTTGGTATAATAATGGCAGCTGGTTCCCTGAAGATATCCTCAGGTATCCCGTCGAGACTAAAAAAGTCTTGGTTACAGTGTATGAAAAGTATGATCATGGTGACGGATCAGGTGCAAATTCTACTAGGGACAACAACAGCACAGGTTCTTATATTCGGAATGACTGACTTGCGGCGACGCTAACAAAAGTCAGCAAGTGAATTTTGGCGAGCCCATAAAACTATGGAAGTAAGTGATTGTGACTGATTCAAACAGGCGAATAATGAAAGGACCACAGAGTACATCAAAAATTCAGATTTTTGAGATACTCCAATGCAGTCGATCGTTCATATTATCAGATAGTAAGTAGTATCTTTACGTTTTCGAAGGATAAAATGAAAACAATAACTATGGTCAACCAGTAACCATCCAACAAAACATAGCGGTTGATCCAATATCAAATATTTAATATATAGCATAAACTATTTGATTTCTTCGCGCTCGAAAGAAACCGATTACACTTTGAAGTTTAGTTTGTTGCGAATTGAGACTACTTATCATGAAATTATCAAGCTTTCGGAAGAGTCACTCTAACCCAATTTAGATTCCGGTCCGTCTAGTGAGTTGGACTCAAGTTAATTCAATATTCAGGATTCTGTCCTTGAATCTCCCGCGTGTTTTGATACTCATTTCTTAGTAATATTTTCGTGCCTTGAAGTCAATGGATCGTCTCCTTCGACTTGGTGCTGATGGACTGGCTGCCTTAGGACAGTCAAACGCACAGCCAACAGATGGACCTGTACCAGATACTGCTGAGCAGGTGTACATTAGCAGTCTTGCACTACTAAAAATGCTGAAACATGGAAGAGCTGGAGTCCCAATGGAAGTTATGGGTTTAATGTTAGGCGAATTTGTTGATGACTATACTGTGACGGTTGTGGATGTATTTGCTATGCCACAGTCTGGTACAGGTGTCAGCGTTGAAGCTGTAGATCCTGTATTTCAAGCTAAAATGTTGGATATGCTCAGACAAACTGGACGGTACCATTCTTTTTAACATATTCCCACATTTTAAGTCCAGAAATGGTTGTCGGGTGGTACCACTCACATCCTGGGTTCGGTTGCTGGTTGTCTGGCGTGGATATGAATACACAACAAAGTTTTGAAGCACTGTCTGATCGTGCGGTAGCTGTAGTTGTTGATCCAATACAGAGTGTGAAAGGAAAAGTAATTATTTCTCTCAACTAGAAATTATTCACAGGTTGTCATTGACGCATTCCGTCTCATCAATCCAAATCTTGTAATCGCGAACCAAGAGCCAAGACAAACAACATCTAATGTTGGTCATCTTAGCAAACCAACAATTCAAGCACTTATTCATGGTCTTAATAGACATTACTACTCTTTACCCATTAATTACCGTAAGAATAAGTGGGAAATCAAAGTAAGCTCTATATAAAACTGACTTTATCCCTGTCAAAATAAGATGTTGATGAATCTAAATAAGCGTACCTGGAGAGACGGGTTGACTTTAGAAGATTACAATACCCATTGTTCAGCTAATCACAAAACTCTCCAAACAATGCTTGACCTTGTCAAATCATATCAGAAGGTTCGTGTTTTGTTTATTATTCATTTTGTTTAGTCCCTTGAAGACGAAGAGAAGATGACTCCAGAACAATTGGCCATCAAAAATGTTGGAAAAATGGTATGTCATCAACAGTATTTTTTATCCTATCACTCTTCAGGATCCGAAACGACACCTTGGAGAGCATGTAGACGAATTAATGACCTCAAATATCACTCAGTGCCTTGGAGCAATGTTACATTCAGTTGTTTTTACATAAACAATTACCAAATAAATTCTTTTTACAAAACATTGAATTCTATCCAAGTGTTACTTTGACGTTGTGTTTACTAAAGTATTTTTGCTGTCTTTAGGAAACATGAGTTCTGATGCATTGTCTGAAGAAGAGCGTTTACTTATTGAAGCTAAACGAAGGAAAGCTCTTGAGTCCCGTAACCGAAATACTGTGGGTGGACTTGTTAGTTCAATGCCTATAGTTCATAAACAGAATATGGTCGCTAAACAGCCCTTATCATGTCAAGGTGGTTATGGTAGTACACAAGCTGCAAAAGTAGGCGAAAATTTTGTACGTATGGCTAAGACTTGGGTGAATACTAGGTAAGTTATTTAGGTTTTGTCACTACACTTTCCCATCTGAGTAGGATGCAAAGTTATCCTTGAGATAGGCGTTAGCAAGTAGCAATTTCGATTTTCTTACTATCAGACACTCACTAAGTATCGTTCTGGTCTTACAATCAATCCGCTCTTCTCTATGTAAAGTCAGAAAATCTTTAGCATGGTAGTTTTCCTCAGTTACTAAATTCACGTTAAAGATTCTAACAGGATTTTAGGTTAACTGTAGGTAACTGACCTATGCATGTCTTTTCGGTTATGCACATAACTCCTAGTGTCATCAGTCTTTGTAAAACATTTAGTTTAACTGGATACTTCGGGCCAAGTCAGTCATTAAACAATAGTAGGTCAGTTGCTTGTTTACGAGTTGTCTTATTGTCGTCTTGATATTGAAATTCACCCTTGACAAACTGGCCACTAGATCCATGTAGCTCATTATTAGTACAACTTTTTCTCTAGATGTTGAACACTTGTATCTGTGATCTCGTTATGAGTCTTGGAAATGACCTGCTCTAAAATCGGCATATATTTATTGTGCCGCTAATATAGTCCGAAAATAAGTTGGAAGAAAAGGCCGAATGTAATGTAATCGAAGGTTTATATCTACACTTGTACTAGTTTATTTAAGCTTAACAAATGTTTAGATTGCTTTCAGTACTTTTATTTAACATCGAACTGATATCCTAGAGGTCTTGATAGCTATTTATGAGTGATCGATAACACTGTGTTCATTTTCCAAGAAAGATTAGTTTGTAAGTTTGCGTATTTTCTCGGAATAAATTCGGACTCCCTTTAAAGCTGACATGTCTATGTAATGTATCAGGTCTCGGTTACCCTTATCACTTGTTTTTCTTGTACTGTTGGGATTAATGATATTCTTTTGTTCTGTGTGTTTGCTTCATACTCTAAGTCGACTGAGCTGAGTCATACCATTTAATTATGCCTTGAAAGACTATTATTATCCTTTCTTGCGATAAAATCTATTTCATTTATGAAAAAGACTATCTGGTTCCTTAATTTCCCAGGTTTGACGTCTTACTGTAAGTCAGCTAGGAACTTTGTATCTTTGACTATCATGGATGACCAGTCGTTTTTATTATCAACGATACTGTCACTACCTCAACTAATCTAGGATTTAGCGTAACATTCATCTCGTGCTGGTGGGGTCTGGCGATTGGAACTTATATATACGCAAACCAGCTCCAAAATTTGACTGACTTTATTGTATATCTATATGGAAGTGTCTTTTGACAAACCAATTTCTAAAATTTGTGATAACCAGAGTTTGTTTCATTATGTATGTGATGTTATTGAGCAAGAATTGTCACGTTGAATATATTTCGTGAAAGCTATTGGTTGTTACTACCTTAATAATTATCGGTAAACTCCTGCAGTTTCTGTTTTTCCAGATTCTTGCAAGTTTAAAAACAACCTTTAAGGCTTCAAATGGCTGATATATTAAGGATAAAAAACTTCGATTCGCATCCAACTACAACTAAGAGTAAAAGATTCATTGTCATGATAAATTATACAGTATTAAGTCTGGAAGTTGAGAGCCTAGGAAAAGGATTAAATCCTGTGACGTGAATGTAGTCGAAAATTCCTCCAAACTAATATAGGTCGTCATTATTTCAACTCGTTTATCAGTTGTGTATTCGTTTATTTGGCTTTGAGTCATATCTGTGAGTTAGTGATATTACCTGGTCACCCAAACTGAAGTAGGTGAGTCGGGGTTTGAATGTGCAACTTAGTGGATCGGGATCGAATGCCTTAACCATTAAGCCGTCACTTGAACTGTAAGACTAAGTCACTTCTGTTGTTATCGTTTGACATTTCCGAACATAATCTATGAATCTATCAGTTATAAAACAGGTTTATTGATAAAAACAATCACTGAATTTCGAATTTATTTGTACTTAACTAGTCAATAATTAAGTATTTTCACATCACCTATCACAGTAATCCAACAACTGTAAATACAACTAAAAATCTAGTCAGTCAACAAACTTCACAAGTCAAACAGAAATTCAATGCGAATTCTTTTTCTTCGAAAACTACTCAGTCTACTCATAATGATGCTTCCAAGTCAAAGGTCAGCTTAGTTAATGTACTATGCACATTGTGTTCGCCCAATAGATTTGAAGTACATGCTAGATATCACGCTGGGCTGACACAGCTATTCAAATCTATGAATTCTAAACAGTATGGTAAGTTGTTATCCTTCAGTTCAAATTCAGTTCTATTCTGTCATGCTTATAGCATTAATATGACATATGATATGATAGGTTGTTGGCAACTTAATGGGTTTATCTTGTTTTCGCGTTTATAGCAATTTGGTTTACAGTTCTGAATCTGATTGAATTCATATTTCAGCAAGGATTTTGTACTATAATAACATTCTATAATTATCTAATGTGTTAAACAAGAATAATAGATTTAGGGGATGTTGAGCTTTTCCAACTACCTAATTGAAATCGGTGGATTAACGGTAATGTGGAATTAGCATTAGAATAGTCAGACTGATAAATCAAGTCATTAAGTACTTCAGTTAGGGATTTCTGTCATGAAGCGCTTAGTAATCACATTTATCAGGATAGTCGAAACCAGTGAGTTTATAGATAGACTGATTTGAAATCGATTTTGGTAGCGTAAGCAGATTATTACACTGGGAGTAGTTAGCTTTTATATATAGATATATATATAATTCGTACAAATTAGTGATGTCAAATTGATGTTTTCATATCCATATATCACAAATCACTAACGAAGCAAATATCAGGAGACTTTCAAAGTAAGTGAAGTGGTTAACACAGCTATTTCACTTCATATGCTTAAATTAAACAATAGTGTAACATGGTTTTGAAGAGATCTGTTCCTTGTGTTATTTTGAAATGCCATAACTTGAGTACCTAAAGTACTATGATAAGGAACTATTGTGTACTCATCTGCCAGACAAGTTATATTAATGGTACAGTGAAACAGTAATGATTATTGTCAGTAAGCATGTATCGTAAGTGCTAGTTTTTTCAGTCTGATTCTGAAGTTCTTTCTAAAAGCTGCTTACACTAGAGTAATCAAGCTGCACATATAAGTTTCCTGGAAAAATATAAAATTCTTGTTCTGAATGTTTATGGATGCGTCTTAATTGTTTGGTGTTCTTTGAAAGAGATAACTCTCTATCCAGTTTCGGACAATTTATTTCAGAATTTGGTGCAAGATTTCAAGGGGGATAGAGAATTAATATACGTTTACTACTGAAATCGGTTTTATATTGTGCTACTCTAATTATAAATGACAGCTATTACTGAAGCCGCTCATAGGAGGTCTACTTCTTTCTACATGGCTCCAGTTCATAACTGATTTCATGTTTGATAGAATCTAATTAGCACTAAAGAGTGTCTAGTGTTAGTCGACTTTGTATTTCGGCTCTAAGTTATGGTACGGAATGCATTACATGCCACCGAAATTCCAGGATCTGTCCGAAATTTATTCTTGAAGACTGGTATTCCATTAAAATTACGAATGAAAAACGAATTAATATACACAGCAATTATAATTTCATTTGAAATCAGGAACTAATCACTGTTAGACCATCATTAGAAATCTGGAATCACCGAATGGCTGTTCCGTTGCAGTATAGCGCTCATCAGTGCATACCCACGACCTTCACTCGCGGGAATCCAATCCAGAACCTTCAGTCTTGCGCGTGGACGCTTAAACTCTAGACCACTGAGCCGGCATCCAATAGTGTCAATATCTAACCTTGATCAAGCCAAGGCGCCTATCGTCTCCGGTAGTTACTGCTTACACCCGACAAAGCTGAACTTCATCGATCACGGCTTCATTTCATACAAACGTCATTATTCAACCAGCAATAAGCTTTCGTAATCCAGTACTACAAACGAGCCGATCCACACACAACATAGGTTGATATTCCTGAGAAATAATAGTTTCATTGGTTTTAGTATCGTGCATCTATTTGATGACTGACATAAACAGCAAGGCACCCTTTCAGTTCAGTCAGTCAGATGCAACGTAGAACTTCGTACGTAAGTACATCAGTTCATGTTGCCATACAACATCAGCACAGAGATATAATTGTCAATTCAAATCCAATAGTAGAGTCAGTCAGTCAGTCAGTTGCAACGTAGAACTTCGTACGTATGTACATAAGTTCATGTTGCCATACCACATTATTAGCACAGAGACGCAAATGTCAAATCAAATCCCATAGTGATAAAGATGGTAGAGGTATTAATGTTATAATAAGGAAGACTAGGGTTTAAGATATTATTCAAAAAATATAATTCAGTGAGATAGGGTTAGAAAGTCAAAACTAGAGGTGTTGAAGAATCCAGAAAATTAGGATTTGAGAGAACACAAAGAATAAATACACCGGCGCCATTGCAAACAGTTTTGAGCCATGTCATTCAGGGTATCTAACCATCGATGACCAGCATTTCGCGGACCCCAACCAGGTAGTTGACAACTATCGACATGGCTAAGTCCACTTGTCCATGACTTCATGCATTTCTGCCATGTTTTGGTTTGACCGCCCGTAGCTTTCTTCCAACCTATTCCTACACTACAAAACAAAGTTCGTCGAGGCAGTCGATGGTTAGGCATACGCAGCACATGTCCCAACAACCTCAACTGACGAAGTTTCATTACTTCATCTATTGATCGGCCATCCTTACCTAGCATCCGTTTCCTGATAACAGCGTCGCTCACTCGGGTGTCCCAGGATATACGAGCAAGGCTTCTAAGACATCTATGATCGAAAACCAGTAACCTACGAATATCTTCAACTCTCACTGGCCATGTTTCACAGCCATAAAGTAAGACGGAGCGAACCACTGCGCAGTACACTCGTCCTTTAGTCAGCAAACGGATATCTCGCCAACGCCATAAGTGACGCAGGTTGGCGAAAGCCAATCGAGCCTTCTGTATCCGAGCTGAGATTTCGTCAGTCACCAGGCCATCAGCACTGATGAGAATCCCCAGATAAGTGAAGCGGTCTACACGTTCGATTACTTCACTCCCTATCACTATTTCACCCTTTCAGTTACTTACCATTGAGTTAAATATTCTCTTACTAGTACCGGGAACTCAATCAATCAATCAATAGCAACGTAGAACTTCGTACATACGTACATTAGTTCATGTTGCCATACCACATTAGTAGAGGTAGTAAAGGTATTAGCAGTAGTCGGAGAGGTTAGGATTAGAAGAAGATATTATTCAAGAAGTAGAATCTAGAAACTATGGTCTTGTCTCAATTATCACCTCGATGCTATTTCATATTTAATTTATACATTGATTAAATATGATTCTAAAACAGATATAATGTTATCATCATTTAGTAATCCTACTATCAACAATTTTTTCTTCAATGTATATAGATTCGCAGACAAGAAGATGGTCATTTGACTTATCAGAATATAATGAATTCGGTAATGATGTGGAATTTTTTTTTCTATAGATTTTATGTTCATTTGAATGTATCTTTTATATAGTGAAAAAGGTCCATGAAAATAATGAATTACACTTGGAAGAGCTTCCTTATGCTGTTCTTAAAGTAGGTGTTATATATATATGTTAACATATGAGTTCAATGTTAATAATTAATATCAGTACCCAAACTAACCAATAAGATGACGTTATTTTGTAAAGCGCTACACATGCTCATTGAATAGATATCTCAATATTACCAGGGTTTGCGAGTCGATTATTTATTTATATGGCGGTTAGCTTTTGTTTGAGACTTATGGTAAGCATCAGCACTGAAGTACTATGACAATATATCAGTCCTAAGAAAGGACAAACTACTGGTTATTGATTTCACTGCTAACCGCTGCTGCCTAGAATATAATTAACTTGTATATGTAGACATTATCCAGTTATCCATTGAAAGCAATGCTATAGTTAGGAAACGAGTATTAGGTAAGGATGGCCGATCAGTAGGTGAAGTAGTGAAACTTCATCAGTTGAAGTGGTTCGGACATGTGTTACGAATGCCTAACCACCGACTGCCTCGATGAACTATGTTTTGTGGTGTAGGAGTAGGTTGGAAGAAAGTTAGGGGCGGCCAGGCCAAAACATGGCAGAAATCCATCAAATCACTAACAAGTGGATTGAATCATGTTGGTAGATGTAGGCTACCTTGTTGGGGTCCGCCAACGGTTAGAGACCTTGAATGACATGGCTCAAAATCGTTTGCAATGGCGCAGGTGCATCCATTCTTTGTGTTCACTCAAATTCTAACCTTCTGAATTCTTATTCATCTCTATCTTTCTCTTTCTAAAATTATCTCACTGGATTATACTTTTCGAAATGTATCTTCGAAACCTAATCTTCTCCATTACCTCTAATAATTTTACTACCTCTACCACTATGGGATTTGAACTGACATTTGTGTCTCTATGCTAATGTGGTATGGCAACCTGAACTGATGTACTTATGTGCGAAGTTCTACGTTGTAATTGACTGACTGACTGACTGTCCATTGAAAGGAACCGAGCTAAGGTTACTCATTTAAATTTCAATTATCAGCGATGAGAAAATACTGACTGGCCCAATCAATAATTCAGGTGCTTTGCCTTTAACTTTAAGGTTGACATCTCTAATATGATACTGAAAAATTTCAACGACTAATATCTCCGCAAAATTCTTTGTCAGTTCTATCTATGGTTATTGTCTTTTTTTCCCTCTTTACCTCATTTCTATGTGTGTAGATTTTTCGAAGTCGAATTTCAATGAAACTTGGAACGAATGATGTGAAAGACAATGAAAACAATGAAGAAATTGATCATTCCATATTGAAAGATAGAATACCGGATGATTTGTTGACAACATTATTTCCATTTCAAAAAGATGGTGTCTGGTACGAACCATTGTCATTAGTTGCAATTAGATGTCTCGTTTTTTTTTCCGAAAATTCGTATAGTTTAATTTTTAACTGTTCAGTCAGTTAGTCAGGTACAACTTAGAACTTGGTACGTACGAACACAAGTTCAAGTTGTCGTACTATATTAGCATGGATATGCAATTGTCAGTTCGAATCCCATAGCGGTAGAGTTAGTGGAAGTCTTAGTGATAATGGAGAAGATTAGGGTTTGAAGACATGATTCAAGAAGTATAATTCAACGAGGTACCTTTATAAAGAGATGATGAATTCAGAAGATTAGAATTTGATAAGACACAGAGAATGGGTGCAGTTGCGCCATTTCAAACGAATTTGAGATGTACCGTCCAAGGTCTCTAAATATCGGTTAGTATCATCTCACAGACCCCAACCAAGTGGTCTACACCTACCAACATAACTCAATCTCGTTGTCAGTGACTTCATCAGTTGAGGTGGTTGGAACATGTGTTACATATGGCTAACCACCGACTGTCTCGACGAGCTATTTTCTGTGGTATAGGAGTAGGTTGGAAGAAATCTAGGGGCGGCCAAACCAAAACATGGCAGAAATCCATGAAGTCACTGGCAGCTCGACTGTGTCATGTTAGTAGATGTAGACTTCCTGGTTGGGGTCAGCGAGACGAAAGTCACCAATGGTTAGAGACCTTGAACGACATGGCTCAAAATCGTTTGCAATGGCGCAAGTGCATCCATTTGTTGTGCTCTCTCAAATCCTAATCTTCTGGATTCATCAGCACCTCTACCTTTGTCTCTCTAACCTTATCTCACTGAATTATACTTCTTGAATAATATTTTCGAACCCAAGTCTTCTTCATTACCATTAATACCTCTACTATCTTTATCACTATGGGATTTGATTTGACAATTACATCTCTGTGCTAATGTGGTATGGCAACATGAACTTATGTACACACGTACGAAGTTCTACGTTGCAACTGAGTGACTGACTGACTTCATGGATTTGTGTCACGCTTTGATTTGGCCGTCATTGTTAACTGTTACTTGATTACATAACAGGTTAACAAATTTAAGAAACATTGTTATATAATAATCTATAGCTAACAAACATTAAGTGATAAGATTTCAGTACTTGAATTTTATGAAACTGAATTCAATTAGCGTTTTACAGTACTAAACTGGCTATCAAACTGATCATTGTCTCTTGACACAGCTCTTGATAGTTTTGTAGTTTGCATTTTTGTTGAGATTTTTTCGCTCATTATCATTTAAGAATAATAGTTTGGTGGTTGGTTGTCGAAAAACCAAAACAGTCAGAAAGTCATAGAGACTTGTTTTATGATGGCTGATAGCCATTTGTAAGGTGTATCTGTGATTTTAAACGAACTGTTACTACTACTCGCTTTACAGTTCAGATCATTTCCGCGAGTGAACTACAGCATACAAGAAGAGCCAGAATAAAAAATATGCTGCCATAAAATTAAACGGGTTTTTATGGAATTCACTAAGGAACCTTCTAATATCTTCCTTACTCCATCCACTAGCACTGATTAGTTAAAAATGGCCTAGTCGGAGCATTTTGATTTGGTCCTGAAGTGAACATGGAATTTTTAAGATTCTGTCTTCGTTAGTACATTTCTGTCGAATTTTTCGGGTTGCGACTGGCACTGATTAGAGCCGATATGTTTATACACCATTTGATAATTTACTGATGACCAATGTTACGATTGTATATATGGCATTTTAATGAATGCCAACCGATAAGGGATGTATACTTTAGGACTTTGTGCCAATTGCATCCAAGCATAACACTATGACCATAGCCTCTGTCTTGATTTGATGGTCAGACTTGCCTGTTTTAATGATTCAGTAGAGCTATATTGGCTGGAACATCTTGTCAGATCCTGCCCTACCCAGCAGTTTGGTTTATGATTCGTAAGATTAAAATCAATAAACTTATAATCCGGGGCTGGTGTCACTGCTGATTGTACGGCGGTGTAGTGTTCTTAGGGTATTTATTTTGAACAACTAGCATCTTCAGCGATGCTGCTTTTTTACTACGAAGTGAAAGGTCTAGTAAAGGTTGGCCTTAGAAATAGCATACTTCACTTTGGTTTCAAGATTTCCATCTCTGATGGTAATATTTGGAAAGTATGAAACTCATACACCTAAAACTACTCATAGAAAAGGTCATGTATAATAATGTTTGAAGCGGTTGACCCTCGCGCTCTAAAGTCGTGTTTCCAGGTGTTCAACACCACACTTAACCCGATTTTCTTTTTAGATACGTCAAAAAGAGTCCTTCCACGATGTGTGCAATTAAGTAGTAACGACCACTCTCAAACCTCAACTGGCTGAATTAAATGTTGAATCACTTAGACTACTGACCCCATGGCTATATAATGAATAAAAATTAATCAACAGTTGACGTTGAACAATAGTTCTCGAATAATATCTTCGACCCCTAATCTTTTCTACTACCACCACTACTATGGGATTTGAATTGACAATTCCATCTCTCTGTGATGCCGTGGTCTCGCAACCTGAACTGATGTACGGACGTACGAAGTTGTAGCTAACTGACTTCGATCATTGTACAAAGCCCACTTTTTTTACATTGATAAAAATTAAGTTCAATTTACCATTTCTCTCTCTTTATTTTTCGTTCTTCTGCAAAAGTAGTTCATTCTCTTGATAAATTTAATCGTAATTTTCCCCATAACTTTGTATTCATTCAAGTTTAGCTTTGAAACGATCCGGTCGTATTCTCTTAGCAGATGATATGGGTCTAGGCAAAACAATTCAATCATTAGCTATTGCCTCAGCTTATTATTCTGAATGGCCATTATTAATTATTGCACCATCATCTGTAAGATTTTCATGGAGAGATCAAATTATTCGTTGGCTTGGCAAACCATTGAATATAAATGTATCTCATATCACAGTTGTGAACAGTGGTAAAGATATTACTGATGATTGGCAATTTTTTAATTCATCACCAATTACTATCATTAGTTATGATTTAATGAGTCGTTATGGTAAAGAATTATTGAAACGACAATATGGTGTTGTGATTGCGGTGAGTATTGATATTTGTTTTATTTAAATGATGTATACAGAAGCAATCTACTTAATGTATTATATGTTATATGCATTACGGGGTTGTGAAGATTGTTAAGTTACACATTTTTGAAACCATGAATCGATCAATGTTAGACCACCATTAGAAAACTGGAATCACTGGATGACCGTTTCGTCCTGGTATGGGACTCCTCAGCAGTGCGTAACCACGACTCCTGCACCTCGCAGGATTTGAACCCAGGACCTTCGGTATTGTGGGCGAACGCCTTACCATCGGACCACTGAGCCGGTATGTAACGGTTAGGCGTTCGCGCACAGTACTGAAGGTCCCGGGTTCGAATCCTGCGAGGTGCAGGAGTCGTGGGTGCGCACTGCTGAGGATTTCCATACCAGCACGAAACGGCCGTCTTTCAGTGCTTCCAGGTTTCTAATGGTGGTCTAACATTGATCGATTCATGGTTTCAATTATATGTTATATGACGTGAATTTAATAGAGGGGTAGATTTGTGATATTTGTGTAGAGTATAGCGTGTTACTAATATTTGATCGTTAGAGTAAGTTGTTACTGATGGTGTCTGGCCAACGGATTCGCATTGTCTTGCATAGACAACTGTTAGTAAACACCTAGATCTTTGAGTGATGGCTTTCGTAGTTCTCCTAGTCTCCGCCTCATACAGTAGTACTGTCTTGACATTTGTATTGAAAATTCCAACTTTTTGATGACGGACTGTTGCGTTTGAGTTCCAGATGTTCTTCAATTGTAGAAATGCTGCCCTCACTTTGCTAATCCATACCTTCACATCTGTATCCAATCCACCTTGCTCACCAATGGTGGTGCCGAGTTATGTAAAGGTTTCTACATCTTCCAAAGCTTCTCCATTAAGTGTGGTTTGGTTAGTGCATGTTGTGTTGTACCAGATGGTCTTGCTTTTCCTCATCTGTATGTTAAGGCCTACTGCTGCAGAGGCTGCTACTACACTGACCTTCTTCATCCGTATTTGTTACTGTGCGTAGAATAGAAGGGCTAAATCATCTGCAAAGTCCAGATCATCCAGCTTCATCCGAACTGTCTACTGCTTCGTAGAAATTTTCTTCGTAGTGAGTAATTCCTCTTTACTAGTGAATTATACTATTTGTATTCATAAAATTGACCTTGAGTTACATCCTAAATTACATAATTTATTCTCTATCTACTGTATATTGGTGTTGTTTGTAGGATGAATCACATTTCATAAAAAATACTAAAGCTGCTAGAACAAAAGCTGCAACCCCAATTCTTAAGGTGAGTTATTCTACATGGAATGTAGTGATTTCTCATAGGTATGTTGTTTGTTTTTTAACCTTTAGCTGTTATCGACACATTGATTAGCCAGTAATGCAAATCTGGATTTCATTTGTGGAATCGATCATTGTTAGACCACCATTAGAAACCTGGAAGCACTGAATGGTCGTTTCATCCTAGTATGAGACTCATCAGTGGTGCACATTCATGAGCCCCGGAGGTGGGAATTTAACCCATGACCTTCGGTCTCGATCGCGAACGCCTAACCTCTAATGAGGGATTCATACATGTGTTTTTTACTCATGTATCATTGACCGTCGTTAAACCTTTTATCGATCAGTGAGGTTTCTTATACTAAATTGGCTAAATTTAACAAATTCATCGTTTAACTTTCAAAATGATGGTAAAATATATTTTTAGGATTTTAGTTTGTCAACTCCAGCTGTTCGCGTATATTATTAATCACTTGCTCTTAGGAACAAACATTGAGTTACGGACGTATAGGCTTTTATTAGGGCACTAGAATTTTTGCCACTCCTGTATTTGTCCATCTGTATGAATCGGGTTTTGTTTTTAATTTTTGGTATAAAGATATATAACTGCAAATTTTAAAAAATAATTAAGGCTTTCGTTTATTTTTAATTTATCAATTAGTCGGCTAAAAGAGTTTTACTCTTGTCTGGAACACCTGCAATGTCAAGACCGGCTGAATTATTCCCGCAAATATCTGCAATTTCTCCAAATCTTTTTCAAGGTGGCTTTCATGAATTTGGACTACGTTATTGTTCCGCCAAAGAATGTCCTTGGGGATGGGATTATTCTGGTTGTTCCAATATGACTGAACTACAATTAGTTTTGGAGAGATCAATTATGATAAGGTATGGTTTGATTTAACTGACATACGTTTTTTTTTCATTTTATTTTTTAGTCTACTTATAAGTAGTCAGTTACGTGAAGATAGAATATGGCATATATTTGTCTACCTGTTCAAGTTACTACACCATAACAAAAACACTATAGTAGTGAAAGTAGCGACAGCATTATTGGTGGCGAAAATGATTGGACATAAACGCTACCATTCGTGAAGAAAAAATTCGTGGAATAAAAAGTGTGCGATAATTTTGAAACTCAGAGTCTAAGGAAAGATAGGTGATGAGTGTATCACTTCCGTTGCAACTGATTTTAAGCCATGTCACTCAATACCTATCAGGTAGGATAATCTCAGCGAATCTAATAAGGTAGTCCATACCTACCTACATGGCTCAGTCCAATAATAGTCTAGTAGTTCAAACAGTTGATTTTCAGTTGTTAAATCACACGTCCGTATCCTACTTCTTTTCGAGCAACTAAGCATTACAAACAGCCCTTACACAAGCAGTG